CCAATTTGTACTTTGGTAGACAGTATTAACAATTTATACTGACCTTAATAAATTTCTGCATCGTATCCACTGGAAATGCATGATCAAAGCTAACTAATAATTTTTGAATTGTTTTTTAATGTTTATAATTATATATCTGCAAAATACTGCAAATTTTTTAACAATCACCTACTTTGAGTACATGTAATATTTTTTTATACATTTGTTATATTTTTAACTAAGCACTGTAAGCAAATTATTGCATATTCAATGTGATATTATGAAACGTATTTAATGTAAAAAATTGAAATGAATTTAGCTAAAGAAATTAAATATTTATTTCTTACATTTTGCCTTTCAACAGGAATTTTTCTTATTTTTAATTGAAATCTTACATGAACGAAAACATATAACTGTATAATATACTTTTTTTATACATACTATTTATTTCTATATAATAATAGTAATTTTAATAACATAATTTTTCATTGTTTTATTATTAATTGGGTATGATAGAGATTTACTTAAAAATGTATGTTTAAAATATATTTATTAAAATATGTACTGCATGATAGTTTCAAAACCATTTAAAGTGTTTCGTTAAAAATTCGTCTTGGTGTGTTGAAGTATTACATACATTCACTCTCAAGTTTTGGTATTTTCAATTTTCAAGAATGTTGTAATAACAGAACAGTGTAATTTCCATGTTTTTAATTTCCAAACATATTGTAACAGCAGAACTTTTCTCTAGTTTTTAAAAACTGCCCAATATTTTACAGGCTATACAAAAAAATAGAAATAATACATATAAATATCCAATACAATTGATAAGAGTAATTTTTCTTGTAATATTCTAATTTAAGAATGATAAGCCTAACAATACGATATTACTACTTCTGAAATATTATACAATTACCAAATGAGAAAGCAAGGATTTATGTGAATGCAAAACTTTTTTGTTACTATCTAAGACAGGAAGTCCCAATCTTTTTCTTTCATCATCCCTTTTACAGAATGGTTTTCGTCATCGGCTCCTTTATAGTTCTCTCCATAATATATATCATGCAACATAATTATAATACAAGTAATTGCATATAAATAACTTCACAATTAGATTAAGAATTTGAAAAAACGTTTTGAAAAAAAAAAAATGGTTTATTTCATGCATGTTTCATTATTTTTTGTATTATTATTATGTTTACAAATATAAACAATTTTCAGAAACAAAATCACAGATTCTAACTGCACAAAAGTTCAATTTCAATTAATATGATGGCTGCATTTTAGGTATTGTAGCAAGTTTTTAAATATTTGTCATAAAATTGCTAAACTTTGTGAAGTCTCCTGCTCTTTGGTAACATATACGAGAATTCTGAGATCCAAAGAATTATCGCTATGTGTAAATAATGTACCACAGGGACTGAGAAAGGGTGTAAAAGACCCTTTTATTTAACTCAAGTTTAGCAGAAGGCACTATGCTTACAGAACAGCTAGCATTTATGATTTAAATAAAAAAATAATGAGTCTGACTTAACAAAGTAAACGTAAGCTCAACAGCTACACAAACAGACTTAACAAAGTAAACGTTAGCCCAACAGCTACACAGACAGAAAATGCGCGAGTTGGCTCTGACCTGAAGTGGGCGTGACAAGAATAATGCAATGCTACAGAGTACTACTCTCAAAGACAAACAAAGATTAGCAAACATAGCCTTCAGCAGCACTCTGATTCTACCATCTAAAACCCTCCCTTAAATAATACTATCTCCTTTATATCTTATTTGAATACACGTGAGCTAGGAATTTACATTCTATCAGGAACACGGGAAACGAGAAATATAGTAAATCATATTAACAGAAAATAACTGGTTAGTAAAATTAAACAAATCCTTATCATTTCCCCTGTCGGAATTAAAGCATACACGTTAGAGGTATTTAAAGTTCTCGTTAAGAACTTTTGAGCTAACTTCTTACAACAACATAGAACTTAAGAAGCTAAACTAATTAAATTTTACATTTACGTGACAGAGAGCTGGATCTTGTACATATTTCTTCCATCTGCAATATTTCCTTCCAGATGATAGTACATTACTTCAATTTAAATTATCTAGTTTAAACCTCTTCTTATTTAAACATTTCATTTAAAATTTATCCGAAATTTAACTCATGTACTCTATAAATTAAATCTCTTCACCACTGCTCTCCAATAAAAATGTACTGTATAGATCGAAAAAGTGCCTTTTGTATACAGGGCTTAATTTCTAAGATTAGAAGTACTGGAGCCCTATGGAAGACCGTCAGCAGAGAGGAACAAGAGTAAATAAATAAATAAAATGACCATTAAACTCCATAAAAATTTTAAAATTAAATAGTTAATTATTATCAAATTAATTAACAGATATTTTTTTAATGTTTTTCATTTTTTTTCACTCCTTCTTATTCTTAATTATGCTAATTTCCTTGCTTTCTTAGGTCCTTTTCTATATTTCTTGATAACTCTTATAATTAAATCTTATTCTTGATCCTTCCCGATTTGCCGTTATTCCCTCCTTCCCCTTCCCTCCCCGTCCCGGCATCCCTTGCCCATTTACTCCCGATTTTAAGATAGTTTTTTAAATTAAAAAATTTTCAAGATAAAATTTTACTGAAATTGGGTTATTTAACTACATAAAGAAGTGCAGCCTTCTTTTCAGGGCTCCGGTTCGTCCGTCTAGAATTATAATTTATACAAAACTAAGAAGCACCGGATTTCGGTTCTTAGTTTCTGGCCCCCGTAGGGGGGGGAGTTCTTTTATTATCACAAAAGTTAAATATACTTAAAGTATAGCTGATGAAAATTCCAGGGCGAAACAGAATGAGGGTATGAGTGGGAGGAAACAAAAAGTTAGGGGAATCTAGGTGAGAGAGAACGTTCTCTTTGACCGCAGCTCTCCGGTGTCAGGGGTAAATGAGTCTTGAATCGGATTCCTAAATGTTAAGTTGCTGGTTACCCTCCCCCCCAATTAGTGGATACTGTGGGAAGACGATGTATAGGACGTGCTTGAGCAGTTTATCTCAGTATTTCCCTCTTATTGTACTCGCTGTCACTTAAAGCATATTAAGAACACACATTTTTCTTTCTGCAAGGATAACTAACTGTAAGCATCGATAACAATACACTAGATACAATAGCATGGCAAGAAATTTAGGCGTTCCTAAACAAACTCCCACAAATTTATTGCTTTTCTTAAAGGGAAAGGTTTCCGCATGCGAGTGAGGGGACTTTACTTGAACGTCTCATGTTCTCATGAGTTCGTATTTCTAGGGAAATAGAGTATTGCAAAGTCTGCTTATTGTTAAACTAAAATGTTAGGAATTCTAAATTTTGTTCCCTTTAAATTGTGATTCAGTTTTATAAAAAGAAATACCGGAGCTCATCTAATTTAGGGCTCCGGTGCGCTCCGGCTAAAATTGTAATTTATCTTAAAAATTGAGAAGCACAGGAGCCGGGCTCCAGCGCAATTTAAGCCCTGTTTGTATATGTGGCACAACTCTGTCGCCTAACTCACAACCTAAATGTTAGAAATTCAGATTCACTTGATCTCAAAAACACTTTACTTTCAAAATTGCACTTAATGTGATAAAAAGAACGTGCTTTAGATAATCTGAAAGATAAAGAAAAACAATTTGCTGTATACCATTAAATATAACAGGTAGCTTTGAAAAAAAAAAGTCTTCCTAATTAATGTTAATGTGTCCCTAATTAATACGGTGCCATTTTATTGTTCGCATTGCTTTTGGATTTGGCAAAGAAATAAAATGTAGGCTGAACTGCCCACGGATACTCAGCTCCCCGTCCAATCTATGTCGGTGTTTCTGAGGAAAGTTTACTTTCACCAACAATGTTCAACATATTTGTAAATGATATTCCTAAATCACCTAATGTCGATCTAGCTTAATATGCGGATGGCATATGCAAACATCTCTCAAAATTTCAACACCATCACGGTAATCTCTGCACAGCAGAATTATCTTTCAAGCTCTAGCTTTATCTAGAGCTCTGGCTCGGACTGTGGAAGATCGTCGCAAAATGTGCTGCACTTTGTTTATCCGAAGAACTCACCTCATTTTACCTAACTTGCACTTCTTCGGAGAACCAATTCGCTGGGTTCCTACTTATAAGTATCTAGGAGTGATACTTGATTCCAAATTAGCTTGGCAACCTCATATCCAGAAATCAATTTCCAATGCGAAGGTTGTCAAATCCCAATTACTGCCAAATATTATAAATGCAGCAAAAATTCTTCCTTTAAATCGCTTTATATAGTGACTACTACTAAATTAAATTTCCCCTTTCTCAAACTCGAAAATACATAGTCACTTATCTACATTTGGATTATTTTTTAATGTATTTTATAAATTAAACAAAAAAAGTATAGAAAATGTTGATAAATACCAAAACTTGAATAAATGTACCTTTTTATATTAAAAAAATAAAACTAAGCACTTAACAGATAAATAAAAGTTTGATTTCATTCTCTGTGAAATTTTCCCTCAGAGGGGAACTTTTCCTGGAATATATAGGACACGAATATGAGAGGATACACTTTGCATATGACATGAAGAACTTGTATTATAGTACTTTTGTACAATATGAAGAAGAAAATAATTTAAGTTCACATCTGATAAGACTACACTCATAACCACAAAGCATTTGACTAGGGCCACAACGTACTGATTGGGACAAACTGCAAAAGGTTTTTGAACACTGACTCAAAGTGACAAATATTAAATCATGCTACAAAGCTGCTGTTTCACCATGCTGTTTACTACAAAGTGCCACAGAAAATATGCAAATAAGATGCTTGCATATCATGATGTTATAAAAAATATGTACAGCTTTCCTAATTTAAAATAAAATTTCTTTTAAAGTTATTTGCAGTCAGCCTACAATAAAAAAATATATTCTTTCCTATATGAATACCTCTCATAACATAAAGTAATCTACGTTAAAAAAAATTAAAATATTTGAAACAGATAAACTGAAGTTCTAAAATACTTTAATACTCTGCTAAAAATTACAGTATGAAACAATTATACAAATTTATAATATGGAATTTTAAATTCGCTGTTAATCTTGTGAAAACTATTTTTTTTTAAATAAGCATCCACAGTATGCTCATTATTATTCACAATGAAGTTCATATTCTTTAGACTAGCTGCTCACTGTTGTTGAACCATGAAGGGAGAATAAGAAGAATCATCCAACTAAAAAACATATAAATTAATTCAGTAAGTTTCTAACATTATAAGAAACATAAAATACAACTTAAGTAAGGCACTTAATTTATTTCCCCCCACAGAAATCAGTGAATCATTCATAGTTCCAAAATATAATTTTCATTTGTGAAACTGAGAAAACACTAAATGGTAGTAAGTGGCAACAGATAATTTAAAGGCTTGAATATCTTAAGTGAGAAAAGCCAGAAGTGATGAACATGAGTAGATTTCATGTCTGCTAATGTTACAGTAGAAGCAAAAACTTGTACAAATCATGATGCCATGTGCAACCCTGACTTTCGAAATACTATAAAAGTTGGTGAAGAGTCACATGTTTATGGACAGGATCATTAGCTTCTTGACGTGAAGGCTATGCCTACTCTCATATGACCCGAGAATGAGTCATCTTTTCTACTCATTGTTTTGATTTAACCATTTTTATAATTAATTATGAGGTGTAAGTACTTTCTTGTTATATGTTAATTTTATCAATATATTATGTTACAAATAAATGATTAATCATTGCTCTGTGCCAATTTGTAAAACCAGTTATGTTAGTAAACTCTATGTTATTGCTTGCCAGTTTCCAAAAGATGACGCAAAAGAGAACTTGTAATGTGAAATAAATTGAATCTATGAAATCTGACTATATACAACATTTTAGAGAGTGAAACAAAAACTTCTAAGCAGAAATGAGTTCACAGATGGTAAGTAAAATTCCCAATTAAATGCTGCTTGATAAGTTAATATGTAAAACAAATTTAACAACTTAGTAAGATATTCAAAGTAATAAAAATATATCAATAAATGAAGAGTAAGTTTTAATACACATAGAGAGCTGATGTTGTTATACTGGTGAAAACTTCTATGCATACTGTCATGAAACTACTGAACATATTTGCGAATATTTGCTTAAACAATCGTACAGAAAGTTTACGGAATAAGTTTTCTATTTCATGTCATTGCATAAAGCATTAGGTATTTTTATTCTACTAAATAAAATTGCAGTCTTATTATTTTTCTTACAGTATCACTCATTCCAAACACTGCACAAGTTGTGTCTGTAAAAAATTACTACTATTATTAGGTAAGTATTATCTATTATTTAGCATTATTTATAATTATTAGATCATTATTATGAATATTAATGTTTGCATTGAAGTTTCTTATAACAGTAATACCCGAAAGTAATGAATGTGCTGGTTAGGACTGACAAAAAGTGTGTAAACTATAATCTAACTTTACACAGATATATATATGAATTTTAGTTATATAGGACTAAATACTAAAAACACTTTAATTTAGAAGAAAAATAGTACAAAATATTTTCACACTTATCAATACAAAACAGTATTAAAATAAATGTGTTACATATTTTGATGCTTAGAGCTTCATAACATTTAACAAGTTTCTCTGTTACCTCAATGCTATCAAGTAATGTTTATCAAGTTCAAGATGGCATATGATACCACCATCAAATTTTTGCCCAATATTTAGAAAAAATTTAACTTTGCAAAAGTATTAAATTAAAATTTATTAAGCTCACACAAAACTTGTATTTAAATGCTAAAGTTTCACTTAAGTACTATCGAAATTTTTATGAACTCTGCAACATATTTACATAAAAATATATCAGATTTTTTAGAGAATGTGCATATTATATTTTGAAATCCTTTCTAAAAATATAAATAAAAACACTAAGTGGTAGATAAATAACTCTTACTCCATATATGAATTCAGAAAATAAATTTAAAAAATAATTTATTTTATATTATATAATTTAAACTTACTTGCATATATGTTTCACTTCTACTTTCATTCCTCTTTTAAATAACTTGTTCTTCAAAGCTTTTACCATAACTAAAAAAAAAAAAAAAAAAAAAAAAAAGTTATTTAGAATTTGGTCATTTTGTAGCTAAAATGTACCATACATATATGTGTGAGAGTGATGATTTGAATGGAAGAAATACCATGACATTCTAGTAATCATAGTTTCATTAAATGTAACTCATTTTATTTCTGTATGAAAAAGCTTACACATGACAAATTGTGATTCTTAATCACATTTGTAACTTTTCTGTATCTTACGACAAATTTGATGGCTGAAATAGAAAGGTGAGAGGTGATGTCTTAGCTGGAATCAAGAAAGAGCAGGAATGTAATGCATTCAAAAAGAAAGTTTTGAGAAGCAAAAAAAGTTACGATTCCCAAAATGGTTTTGTTTTCTTTCATGTTGATTGGCTAAAGCATTTATATCAGAATTTGCATCAGCAGTGATATGTAAAATCTTATGACATGGATTACTTTAGTGTGATGCAGTTTAAGAAAGTTTATTATAAGCAGTTACTATTTTTAGGACAAAAAGGGGAAATAATTAAATTAATAATATAGGACTATTGCAATTAAATCTACTATTTTGTTATCTCACACAAATGGCACAAAGTCCCAGATCCGAAATCGTCAGGATTTAGTCGATTCTGGATTTGGAATTTTTAAAGATATTAGTTCATAAATTTAACACTAGTACGATGACATATAGAAATTTCAAAATTAAAAACATTTATTTATGAGATAAAGCAGATCTTTCGAGTATTTAAAAAACTCAATATTTATTAGTTTGCTTTTCTTCGAGTTCTGTAATTGCCATGTTGAGAATTCCCACTAAATTGTCACTTGGAATTTTTTCACCCTCAACAACCTCTCTGTCACTTTCTTCACAAATGATAGGAATACTTTCTGGATTTAGAACCATACTACAGATTTTGCCATCTGTTAGTTGATTGATGATTGGGACATAATTATCACAATATAAACCTTCTGCTTATAATCATCTTTATATATTACCATGCCTCCCCAATTCTTGAAAAATTCCCTTAATTGGAAAATTTCACTTTTTGTTTGCAATATCTGAACACCTTCAAATTCTTGGCTATCATCAGAAAGTTTAGCTAGAGTTCACTACACACTATTGAAGACGTATCATGAGATTGACGACTAAAGACATGTTGTTCCACTAAATTTTGTCTTGTATCTATCACCTGATGAATTAACAGCTCTAGGCAATGGCCCTGGACTAATCTGAATAATAAATCAGTTATTCTGAATTCAAAAAGTACTAAATGTAATTTTTGGCCTATACGTGTCAGTATTTACAAAATCTATTTTTTGCATGTGGAAAGAAATATCTGTTGAATTTCCCCCTGTCAATACACTCAATACTTTGAAGCAGAGTTAGCTAAATGTCTGTAATCATTGCCAAGCATGTCAACATATATAAATGGTTCCAATACTCTGTATTCAATGACTAACATTAAAAAAAAAAAAAAAAAAAAAAAAAAAAAAAAAAAAAAAAAAAAAAATGCTTAGACATCCTGAGTCATTTTTTAAGCTGCAGTGTGTTGAAAAGTCATGGAGGGATGAAAGCAAAAATGATTCACCAGGTTGGCATCAGTCATTAAGTGAAATTAAGAGTTAGGATTCTTCATATTTTGTTACGAAAAAGTATTAAATGTGCAAGCATACAGCATTAAAAAAGAAGTGTTGGTAATATTAACACTGGATGTCTGGATTTGAAACTTTGTACTGCATATACATGTGTATATACAAGGTGAATCTGGACAAGGGAGCAAAATTTTGCACTGTGACAGAATGCAGCTATGCAAGCAATGTCTGGGCAGAACGCAAATGGCGAGCTGCTAGGTGGCATTGTAATTGGTATGAAAAGAGTCGGTCCCCACACCCAACGGCATTTTCTACCATAGATTGCCAAAATGACGGCTGGTTATACAAACCATGAAATTTCCAGGACAAGGGATTGGTCGAGGTGGTCCCATAGCTTGGCCACCAAGATCACCGGATCTCTCGTGTTTGGATGTTTTCCTGTGGGACCACATGAAAAGCCTAATCTGTGAATGCTCTGTTGAAAACGAATTTGGATCTAGTCATCGAATTTGCAGTTGTTGCCAGCGATACTTGGAAAATGCCTGATGTCTTCACAAATGTGCGTCAGTTTCATATTATACCTACATTGCAACTCGCGAAAAGACTTTTGAGCAATTTTTTTGAACATGTGCATTAACTACATTCCTGCTAATAAAATGTTTTCTGAAGTACTTCCTCTCATTCTTGTTGTTGATTCTTTAAATGTTTCAATGAAAAATACCTTTTAACTTCTCACCGTTTGCATTCCGACCATACATCCTATGACAAATATTGCTCATATAGCTGCATTCTATCACCCCATAAAGTTTCACTCCCTTGTTCAGATTCATCTTGTATACATACCTATGTATGTATGTAGTTTACTTTATTATCTGTAATTAAACTTTAATTTCATAGAAAATTCTACTAACCCAAATTAACGGTGTATTTTACACATAATTTTAAGAGATTTTCAAATGAAACAGTATGCATTGTTAAGATTTATTTTTTATACATTTTCTTCAGTAAAATAAAACAATAAATATTCACAAATTCAGATAAAGAATTATATTTTACAGAAATTATTTCTACACAAGTAAATACAAATTTAAATAAAGGACAGACTTACTTGTATTGGTGAAAACCTGAACTTCAGGTGTCAGATTTAATTTTATTTTCTCGGTTTGGGAGAACTGCAAGCCCATGAACCAGGCAGATGAGTAACTGCTTCTGAAATAATATTATTTTTTAAAATTGTAAATGCCAGACAAAATAAAATATTTGAAATATATGACAATCTAGGTGACAAAATGAGAAATATATAACAACATCTGCATTTCCTCTCTTTTTATTTTTAATTGAAAGAAGCAACTCAGAAGCATTTAAAAATTTTTAAAAATTTATAAGCTAAACAGAACTGCCACATTCATAATGAATTCTATAAAGTACCTTAACTGAAATTCATCTCACTTAAAATCCAATTGGCTTAAACTCAACTTACCAGTTTGATATCATAATTCTTGCTTGAGTAAAAGATGAAATACCTTCACGTTTATTAATTATTGTTAATTTATCGGAGTGTTGGCTTGTTCCCCTTGAAAATTCAACCAATTTCCGATCAATGACAATAATTACTTGGTTTGTTGATTAATTTTCATTTTTAAAAGTTTCCAATTATAATTTTTTCATGATTCATATTTGATGTACCTTCTAAAAATTTTTCACGATTCATTTTTAAATGCTTCCACGTTACTTCCTTCAACTACAATTCTAACTTTCTCAAAGGAGATAATTTACTCAATAATCCACTACTAAATAAATTATATATATAAAACTACATATACGTATATACACTTTTTGGGAACATTTATACGGGGGTAATAGTGTGTCTAATGCTCGAAGAAATACAGTAAGCTAAAGTATATCTTTAAGGAAAATTTTTTTTAAAACTATCATGCTTTTTATATATATTTCCTGTTTAGAATTAAAAATTTTTGTACCACTACATGCACACATAAGAAGAAATTTAGAGTAAAACTAATAAAATAAAATTAGTACAATTCACAGAAAATGTAATGTTTTTAAAACCACAGAATGAATGATTTCTCAGAATTAATTTTTAAGTCATAAAACATTTTTATTAATATCCAAATACACATACCATATATTAACCTAAAAAGCTGCTTATATTAGTTAGGATACTGTCACATGCATTCAAATTTAACCTTTAGTTAACCAGAGGAAACAATTTTAGGCTCAACTGAATGCAACATTGCTTTTCAGCAGCCAATGAATGGCACTATGTCCAGATGGGTTTTACCTGTACTATTAAATAATGAAGAATTTGTATGTATGTACAGTCCTTGCATGGTGGAAAACCTGTGACACCTTTAGAGTCACCAAATTTTGAACATACAGTCTTCACCTAGACATGTGAACTTCGAAGTTCGAATTTTGGATTTGCATTTTATTTATTTCATATTTTGTGAACATACATGGAACTTCAGATTAAAAAACCTAGCAATATAAAAGTCACTCTGGGAAGCTTTAAGATTTTTAGGTTTCACATTTTATCAGAAAACTTGCATTGCCATTACCCACATTAAAATATTTTTATCTTCCATTCAACAAATAATAAGCTATTTTTCTTTTTAAATTTTTCTGTTACTAATTAACAAAGTAAGCAAATTAAATGCAGATGTAGTTCAGTTATTATTATACATTAAATTAGTTGAATTCATTAAAATTATTATACATACATAATTAAAATTATAGGGGAATAGTCCTATTAAAATTCTATATTTAATTATTTGAAGCCTAAATAAATTACCAAATTCGTAATTTTTAAGTAATATTAATTTTTTTTTTAATTTAAAAAGTTAAAAATTTTTTTTAATAAATAGTAAAATTCAAATTGGCATGGAAAAATTTCTTTACTAGCAATGGCCAATCGTAGTGGATATGCATAAATTGTAACAAAAATTGTTAATGATAATTAAAGCCATATAAAGAAAATTATTTAAAATTGAACAAAAGATAATGAAATAACACCGACTCTTTAGGGAGAATTTATATATGTATTCTATTAACTATTCAGGTAGCTGGATGCATCAGCAGCTAATGTATCTAAATAACTGAATATTAACTAACAATAGTCTAAAAAGCGGATATAGATAGTAATATTATTTTTAACAAATATATTACATGACATTACGAAATATTTTTGACATTTTAAAGAAATAATAAAATAATAGCACACACATATATATATATACGAGGGCAATCCCAAAAAAAAGTCTCCTATTTTTGGGGGACATAGAGAAAGTTTTAATACGGTTGTTTTCAACACTGTTGTGAGTGGTGCCTTCTCCACTACCACATAACACGCAGGCGCTTCTCTCGATGCTCAGTCTTGGCTTGGCAGCCATTCGAAATGGAGCTCCCGATACGTTACTGCCAATGCGAAGTGTGCCCAGTTATTCAATTTTTTAAACGCAAAGGCGTTAAACCGGTTGAAAATTCACCGCCTATTGACAGAAGTGTATGGACAGTCGTGCTGGATGTCAAAACGTTCGCAAGTGGTGTAGAGAGTTTACAGCGGTCGTACGAATTCATGAGAAGAAAGAAAGCGGGAGGCGTATTGCCGACGAGACCATCAAACTTCACGATTGTTGAGTTCGTATTCATTGAGTTTCGCGATTGTTGAGTTCGTAAAATGCGTAAAGATCGGAGGATCATCTGGATGCTCCTGAAGCTCCTCAAAGTTCCTGAAGGGCATGGCGGCAAGTGGTATACATGGGCATTGTAAAAACTGCCCACAGCGTCTCAAAAAATGCATCGACCGAAATGGCGATTATGTTGAAATCAGCATCTGCAATCTTTAAAGGATGTAGCAATTATAGAAATAAACGGTTCTTTGTATATCTAAAAATATAGGAGACCTTTTTTGGGGGATTGCCCTCGTATATATGCTGCTATGATACAGGAACAGCAGTCATAAATGCCATCCTTTGCCTAAAATTCAAAACTGAACTCAAATTATAAGAATCAATTAAATCCTGTCAACATGTTGCTTGTCTGAAGCAAACCTAATCATATATATCATTAACAATTATGACATTACTGAAACAGTTCAATTGGGAAAATTTTATAATAAAAATGAAAGATTTTAATTTATTAAATTCTGTTTAAAATACTAACAGTATAAAAAGAATTCTTCTCAACACAAAATAATAATAAAAACCCTATCATAAGAATTGACATTTATAGTAAATTAGAAACTAAATATCATATATGTATCATATGCAACACCTGTTGTTCAAAAAGTTTTAAAGAATTGAGTCACAGCGACTATCCAAGAGAGAACAGAAACATGCAACTGTAAAACTTAAAAATTAGGCAAAACAGCACCTTATGAACCTTATGTTTGGCGTAGATTTTAATCAAAACCATATTGACTGAATCAGCAAAGTTTTGATTAAAATTTATCATAAACATAATTCTGCTATTACGGCTGTTTTCAAGTTATAATTGTGTCACACTTTATATGTCATATGCTGGTTCAAAATTTGATCTGTAACTGAAAGTACAATGACCATAAAACTTAAGTAAAAATTATGAAACACTCAGAACTTTGATGATTTTCCCCCTTCCTTTAGGATAACATAAGAGAAAACTTTTTATTTTTGAAACATTTTAATGTTTGAAAAACATAAAATATAGGTACATTTAAGTGCTAAGTACTACGGGGAAATATTTACCCCTAAATTCTACTCATTAAATTCCTTTAATCAGCCTTTTAAATATTCCATGATAAATGCTATGTTATACATAAGAAAAACTGTACTTACGGTTCCGCTTTGAAATTCGTAAATGTTTCTGGACTCACATGAACAAAATTTACATATGGTTGTCTCTCTACCTGAGATATCAAAATTCTTATCTTTGACTCTACTAATCCACTCCTGAAGGAAAGAAAAATGTAATCAATAATTGTTCATGCTATCTTTACATTAAGAAGATACAAACTAAGAGTAGCATTACATGTTAAGCTAAATTAACAATTCAACTACATTAAAATACATGAACATAGACGAAAATTTTACTTACCATATCAAATAGTCTTCTTTGGTGCAGGCAGAGGCTGTTACCATTATAAACTGCCTATAACACAAAACCATGATATTTTAAAGAAATATATACTTTTCACAAATGATTTTATTTTTCTGAATAATTAATGTATCAATAAAACAAACAACCAGACTTTTCTTAATCATTATATGGTTTTCCCCATGTGTAACGTGTATACCAGCCAGTTTCCCTTACAAAGTCCTCCACGAAGGCATCCCTCCCTTTAGGCAGATAGCCCTCGAGGCTTTGCCATAATCACACACACTCCTTAATCATTATAACATATTTTATCTTTAGCTTCTCATCAAAAATTTACACAATGGTTAAACATAATAAAGTATTTAACAGAAAGAAATGTTTTTCTATTTACAATGATAACATACAGTGGATGGACAAAAATATGGAAACACCTTGTGAAATGCATGTTTAAAAGGAAAGATTGATTTAATGAAATATGTAGGTGGCGCTGGCATTTTTGACTACTACTCCACCTATACAATTCGTAAATCTGCTAAACAGTTCAGTTGTTGTCGGAGTACTGTTTGTGAGGTTGTCATTGCATTATGTCAGAGTTAACAGACTTCGAACGTGGGCAAATTGTTGGAGCACCTATGGTAGGTGCTTCCGTAAGCAAGGTAGCCGAGGTGTTTAGTGTTTCAAGAGGTACTGTATCGAAGATTTATTCCGCATATTTGAAAAAGCGGAAAAAAAGAAAATCATCTGCTAAATCAACAGCGGGACGAAAGTGATGTCCTGAGTGATCATGACAAGACGATTGTTTACGCTGCAAATTACTGCTGAAATGAATGTTGTATTACCGAACCCTGTAGTACCAAAAAAATTAGAAGGGAGCTTCATAAACAGGGAACTGCTGGCCGTGCTCAATTGAGAAGCCACTCATCAGTAAGCTAATGCCCAACAGAAAAGGTGGTATTTAAGTCATAAAGCCTGGACTATAGAGCGCGAGTAGTAATATGGTCTGTTTCACATTGTTTCCCACTTTGGCCAGTTTGTCTGGAGAAACGCCATCTCAAAGCCTATAATATATAGACTGCTTGTTGCCAAGAGTGAAACATGGTGGGGGTTCTGTTATAGTTCGGGCAGCTATATCGGGTTCTTCTTCTAGCCCATGATAACTGTGTCAGGGCACATGACTGCCAGACTTATGTGAACCCGATCAAGTTTCATCCCATGGTACAAACTTGTTCCCCGATGATGATGGTGTCTTCCAAGACGACAAAGCCTCTGTTCACACAGCTCACATTGTCCAGGACTGGTTTTTTCTGAGCACGAGGATGATTTTGTCCCATCTCCCCTGGCCACCACAGTCACCAGACCTAATAGAACCTTTGTGGTCTACATTGGAACAGAAAGTGCGTTCTCGTTATCACCACCAACATCATTATCTGAACTTGCCACCGTTTTGCAGGAAGAATGGAAGAATTACAGGAACTGTATTTCCATTCGAAAGACTGCAAGCTGTGTTTTGGATGCCAACGGGTTTCCTACACCATTTAACAAAGAAAATTTTTTTAAAGGGTTCCATATTTTTGTCAAACCCCTGTATCTAGCCTTGATAATCCTAAAGTGAAAAGTTTTGGTATGTTTTCATTGTCCGAACACCCATGACAATTTGTCAAGTCAATGGTGATTTTACAGACTGGTGAAAAATACTTGTTTGATTAATTTTAAGGTTTATGAGTACCATTCATAAAAAAAAAAAAACAATAAAAGAAGTATTTTAAAAGAAATTTATGATAAAAATATATTTCCTTGTTACACTGATAATTACATTCTTATTGCTTGTGAATACTGTTTAGCCATATAATGATTACATACAAAGAATGTAAATCCAAATGATTCAAATACATGTATGGTATGCACACGACTAGGTTAACATTTGTTGCATGTATAGTCAAAAATATGCCAAAAACAAGGTAAAGTACCAATTTTTTTCCCCCAAAATATATTCATTTGTCATATAGTTAATTTTTTTTTAATATTAACTGTCCTTCTGAAGTTCTAATAAATATATGTATTTAATCGATTACATAAAATATACGAATGATTTTAATGCATCTAACTTCTTTGCCATGTGATTTTTTGAAAATTATTATAAATTACTGAAATATAGTAACAGTGAAAAACATATAAATTTCAACAGAATAAGAAGAATATCATCTGGCTGTCTTGTAGCTTCAAAGCACATAAATCTAACTCTTTGTGGTCGGATTAAATTTGGAGATGGGTATCGTATTGGTCGGAATTAATTTCCGTCGATAGAAGAGGGATACATAACATGCAAGTTTACAATGGATAAACAAGATTTAGCAATTCTTTTGTGAACTTTAGATATATCTTTATTCAATACACAAATCTAGTGATATTTTTTTGTATAAAAATTAAGTTTTATAATTCTCCTTCGTGTGATATTTTTCAAAACACTCTCCAACATGCAGGCCAGGTTTTCGAGTGCATGTATCACAAAAATAATTGGTTGGGTGCCTTCCACCTTTAATCTTTCTGTTTGAACATACATCACAATCTTTACTTTTTACATTTTCACAATTCTGCAATATATGCAGTTTTCCATCAAGTCTTTCTTCGTTATCGGAGGTCGATGGTCTTCCCGGTTTTGAATCTGCTCCGTCACGAAAATCACCTACTAGTAGTTGTGCCACCAATTTTCGGATAAACATAAAACGTGGCATAGGTGTCCTGTTCCCTCTTCTAGCTGAATTTTGGGGAATTATTTTGGAATATTTTAAGAAGACAGAATGTCTAATTTCTGTTAAATACAATATATAATATATTCTTTGGAATTCTACAAGGTATCGTCAAACGTTGTTGATTTCATTACGTTCAAAAGACAACCAACTTGCCACTGAGTCTTGCATGGTGAGCGCTGGGTCACAACTTTTGTTTAGAATAGATTACGTTAAGTCCAATCGATGGAGCACCGTATTGGTTCATGAGTAGGTTCTTTAGGCACTGAGATTCGTATAGGAAAAGTGTAAACTGATACATGAATGCATGCAGTATACGATTCGTATAGTTCCTTGCTGTCATGGCTGAGAGCAGACTTACGACCGGAACGGTAAAAAAGGATTTGGTGGCTGAGAGTGGACATACGATCGCAAAGGGTTAAATATTTTCCTTTCTACTCTATTATATGTAGTTTTGAGCTACTTACTTAGGTTGTTTATTTATTATCCAAGACATTCTGGGTCTACCCTCTAGGCAAACTGAAGAATCAATCACCTATATCTTAGAATTCCTCCCCTACCTTTAAAAAAAATTGACACTGAAATAAATTACACTTACTTATAATCTGAAAAGAAATCTCTAGATTTAAATAACTCATCCCATTTACAATTTCCAGATATTATATTCTTGGCAACAGATGAACCTAGAATAAAATAAATTCAAATAATACTGATTCATAGTTTAAAAGTAAAATTTAACCCTACTGAATTATACGAAATGAAATATGACAAAGAAACATATACTAAAATACAACAAAAAAATTTAATATTAAATAAACAATAGAATTATTTCGCCAAAGTTAAAATAATATATTAAAACTAATTGTAAAAAAAAGTAAACATTTTTTAAAGGCCACAAAAATTTATTCTAATATGCATACCATGCTTGAAACTATTCTCCAAGATAGTTCGCGTTGAAAATGTTACGTTGAAAGCGGAGTTCTGATGAGGATATGCTGGAGTAATAATAGGCATCAGATGATATCTGTCACCCACATTTATCTGAAAAGAATGGCAAAATATAATCAAATTTTGAATTACAGATTTGATTTTTTGCATTAAAGAATAAGGATTTCAATTGCGTTAAAAATTTTTGCTTTCATATTTTTGAATGAAGAGAAACATTAAATCATGATATAAAAACTGAAAAACTGAGATACATTGCCAAGCATTTCAATCATAAAATATTTATGCAGTCAGATTTAAAAAAATCTTGCCTACAAGAAATAGCCAAATTTAAGTGAAAATTGATATAAGAAAAAAAATTAATGAATTTCAATAAAATTACTTATATGGCATCGTTTTCAATCTCCAGGAAAAGTTACTCGTTACTCATATCGAGTTTAGTAAAGGTGCTGCACTTAGCATATAATCACTGATGGTATTTACTGGTTATATCTGTTCATATTTTTTTGGCAATAATTTTTTGTGATGAAATTCCCAGTAATTTTTTGGTAATCCTTATCTATTTCTTAGAGAGATTTTTCTTCTGATATTTCATTGCATCAGTTTTCCTCATTACTTTTTTTTTTTTTTTTTTTTCAGTTCAGCAGCTAAGCATTTAATAATAATAAGTACAGCTGTCAAAATTTGCCATGGATGGAATTTTAAGCAATAGCTACCTTTCCAGAATTTGGTAGAGCTATCTGAAATTTCAATGGAAATATTTTGCTCGCCCTCAACAAAATTGTCAAGAAAATGTGGGCTGGAATAGTCAATATGTATTTGTCTGATGTTTTATTGTGTTAAAATATAAAATTACATGATATTTCAACATACTTTTTTTCCCTTTCTAAAAAAAACCTAATGGTAATAAAATTTTCTGCTACACAGAAAGAATATATTTCAACAGTGCTATTACTATTAATTATCCCAGGGTAGCAGCAATAAATTAAGTCTATACAAAAGTGAAAGTGAAAATATGTTTCGAAGCCCCTTAAACAGAAAGTGGAATTGCTGCAAAAAATGATAAAGGCATATCCTTTGATTATCTAATCATTCTGAAATATGTTTATCAATTTCACACTGCTCTGCGGGGGGAGGGAAACGATGCGGCGCACAATGAATTGGAAGTTGATTTGTCAGCACTATCCTTATCTTCAGGGCAGATGTTTTTTATTTTATGTGCTTATAATTCCTTACAATGTAGTATTTCATCTTGGTGTACTCCGTCTTTGATATGATTTAAATCAAGTTTCCCGTCATTATAATCACTTCCGATAGTGAAGAAAGTGACAGAAAGGTATTGAAAACGAAAAAATTTCGATTGACAAATTAATAATAATAAGACCGATAAAATTTAAATGATTTTTCCAAGGAATCAGGAGAATTTTCTTAGCTGCAAGAATGCACAATTATATATATATATAAAAAAGGGGAATTAATGTAAGACTTTAAAATATACTTAATTAATACCTGAAAGTGTCAATATAAATAGTTCAACAATATTTACATGAATTATCATCATCATCATCATCATCATCATTTTGATCTTTTAATATCCAAATAAAATTCCAACCAATTTTTGCACAACTTCTAACAAAAGTATGCTTCAAAGTCCGAATTCCGAATCACCAATCAAAAAGTAAATTAATAAAATAATATCATAAACAAAACTATCCTCCCCCAGCATGAAATCTAGGAATGGTGAATATAGTACTTAACAAGAGGAAGCAAGTATGCTGTAAATGCAGTTTTTCTCCAGACTAAGAGATTCCAGCATTAATTTTCAAACACCTGCTGGCCAGAAAGACACACACATACCATTTATTAATACAGTCAAAAGTCATTAATTCGGACACCCATAATCCGGAATAATCTATAATCCGGACCTCAAAGCTACAATTTTTTTCCACGCGTTTAAGCATGCGTGTAAGACCTTTACGGTTGCGAATATGCGTGTGCGCATGCGCATAATATATTTATGCAAGCGTGTTTAATATATAACGGATAGTATAAGCTAAGCTAAAATTATCTAATTCAGTTAATGTTGCAGATTGCGTTGTTCCTTAATCTTCGAATTGGATCCGGCTTATTATTTTTTGCAGACTGTTAGAGCAATTTTATAAAAGTAAGCTTGAACTTTCGATTATGTCAAATAGAATTTCCGATATATATTTACTAATATGTAAAGGATCTACAAAGTGAAAATATGTTTCGAAGCCCCTTAAACAGAAAGTGGAATTGCTGCAAAAAATGGATAAAGGCATATCCTTTGATTATCTAATCATTCTGAAATATGTTTATCAATTTCACACTGCTCTGCGGGGGGGGGGGGGGGGGGGGGAGGGAACGATGCGGCGCACAATGAATTGGAAGTTGATTTGTCAGCACTATCCTTATCTTCAGGGCAGATGTTTTTATTTTATTTGGCTTATAATTCCTTACTAAATGTAGTATTTCATCTTGGTGTACTCCGTCTTAGATATGATTTAAATCAAGTTTCCCGTCATTATAATTCGCTTCCGATAGTGAAGAAAGTGACAGAAAGGTTATTGAAAACGAAAAAATTTCGATTGACAAATTAATCGGTATTCTCGACACAGCAATTATAGGACTTGAACAGCGGAACTTTGTAACTCAACAAGAAATTATGTCTGTTTAATAGAATTAAAGAGAAAGTATTATCACATGAAAAGAAGCAACTTAAACAACTTACGTTGAAAGAAATGTTTAATAAAGTAAACAAATAAATATTAAGCTTTTTCCTTTTGTAAATTTTGATACCCTTTAGATCATAATTGTTCTTTATTTCATAAATTACGGTTTCATATTTTTAATTTTAAAATTTCTGCTTGCCATCTTACCAGATTTAAACTGATGATCTATAATCTGGAAAAATCAATAATCCGGAATCGCCGAAGTTTTGACGAGTTCGGATTAACGTCTTTTGACTGTATATTAATTCATATTATATTGATACTGGAATGCATATCACATCTGCTCCTTGAGTGGTTGTGTGGGGGGGGGGCAGGCTTAGCAATATATAATTTGCCTCTTGGTGGAATCTAAAAACGAGGGTCTAAATTTTGTTGCCTGGTAGCTCCCTAAATTCAAAATGGGTACTTTTCCGTTTTGCCGGATTTTTTTTACAACTGATGCCAAACGGAATATCCTTGCTGGTAACCTTTTACACCTTATTTTCAAAACAAGTTGCTGCCATTTCTTATCAGATTGATTGTTTCTTTCAACACTGGCATAAAATTACATAGAATTTTTACCAGATAGTTTAGTTTTATGCCCTAAAGCAAATCTAATGAGAATGCACTAGTGAAATAAAGCATTGCGGTTTTACATAATTTCTGAGTAAGCTATTCGTATGAATTGAAATAATTCTTGCATTTAAACTTGTATTCCAAATTAAGATTTAACTTGAAATTAATGTAGATAATTACTGAGAGAATTAGATTTTTGTAGCGTAGTTTACGTGAGATGAGATCCCTTGGGGTCACGTGAATCAGGATGTTGTACCATGAAAGCATAGTAAATTCTTACATTAATGACTTTTTATAAATTTATTGTCTTTACTTATTGGCTTTTTATCAAATTTAAACGATATTAAAATTTTCATGCCCTCAAAATAAAAGTTCTTAGAACCAACATTTGTTCACATTTTATAAGTGTATGATCTGTGTTGTCGCCAATAAAGTCTGCTTCGCGAGATTTGCGCTGGCAAAATGGAAAAGTACCTCAAAATGTTTTACTGTCCCTAAATTCTACTACCCATTGCCTCTCCTAAATTCTAAAAATTTTGTATTTTTAACTTGTTGTTTCTTCTCTAAATTAAAAAATTTTTGCCTGTGCACTAAGTAGTAATAGTTTTAGAATCGACATTTCTTACATTTATTCTGGGAGGAAGGTTAATGTTGCCATGACTACATGCCATTTCACTTAATTTAAAATGATGATCTGAAATCTGGAAATTTCAAAAATCTCAATTTGGTGATTCCAGATCTCAGATTTTGTTTAGTATTGTAATTTTATTCATGGCATTCACCATTAAACCTACTTCTGGCCTAAAATGCTTTTCTGTGTATTTGTGTAAACACATGTTTAGGAATTACAACCCTTTTTACAATGTGAAATAAAAAAATCATGACAACAAAATGCACATACTGCAAATTGTTGATCTTCGCTCAACAAAACAATGCAATGAAAGTCATCTGCAATGATTTTCAAAAAGTAGAATTTCAATTCACAATAAAAAGCTTGCAAAATTTAAAACATTTAAAATTTAGTGATAAATCACAAATAATTTTTACATCAAATTTAGTGATGAAATAATGCAAAGAACAATGCTCTCTAACTTTGCACTCACTAACTAATACACATTGCGTGGCAAGCAGCAGCACCTAATGCTCATAACAAAACTGGAATATGATATCATGCTTAATGCTAGCAAGAAATTGTAGTTCACTGATAAAACACACTTACTTTTCTTTTATGGATTCTACAGGACTGAAAAAGCGATTTCAAATGATAGAAATATCATTTCTGGGTGTGAATAATTTAATAATAAACCATCTCCATACAGACATGACAAATTTGGCCAGCAAGACAACATGTGGATGAGCATTATCATGCAGCAGAATAACTTTATCATGTCTGAAGTAATAGTGGGCACATATTTGAGTGCTCGGCTGACTCTCATCAGCTGTGTCTGGTAGATAGCACCAGTAATCATTTTCTTTGGTTTAAGCAATTCATAATACATGACACTAAGTTGATACCACCATGTACACAACATGACATTTTTCCCATGAACATTCAGCTTGACTGTCAATGTTGATTCATGGCCAGGTGGTCCCCATGATTTCTTCTTTGGGGTACCATAGTGGATTCATTTTTCATCACTAGTGACTATACGGTGTAAAAAACACCTTTCATTTAATCTGGCAAACAGCAATTCACATGTAAAAAATTAGCATTCAATGTTCTCATCTTCAGTTCATACGGAACCCAATTTCCTTGCTTTTGAATCATTCCCAATTATTTTAAATGATGTGAAATTGCTTGCTGAGTCACTCCTAATGTAAGTGCAAGTTCTTCTTGCATTTGGCATGATTTTTCTTCCAATAATGCTTCTAATTCAGGGTTTTCATACATTTTCATCCTTCTACTCTGCTCTTTGTTTTTGACATCAAATTCACCATTCTTAAACATTTGAAACCTCTCACGACAACTTCTGTCACTTAAAGCAGCCTCATCATATGCTTCTATAAGCAATCAATGCGCCTCAGCTATTAATTTCTTCAATTAGAGAAATAAATCAAAGGTTCCTGTGAATGATGCTCAGGCTCAAACATCAAAATTTTGGCACAAATATATATATATATATCAAGCTGATATAAAATCGCTAATATTTCAGGGTTATATTATATGATGTTTTAAATCCGACAATTTTAACAAAAACTTATTGGTGGTGCCATTCTTTCTCAAATGGTGAAGACTTATTTGTACTCCCAACAAAATCAAAATTAAAAATACTTACTCTAGGATCCCACACATTGAAACCAAGTTTGTTTATGTCTGGCTGCTTCAGGAGTACAGGACATGGCCATTTCCTGTAAAATAAATTCACATGGGTTAACATAAAAGAAATTAGTAACTTATCAAATATTTTAATAGCTCAAAGTTCTCAAGAATTTCACAGATATATAGCTTAATGCATCATATTTTACAAAACATTATACACGATGGCGATCAATATTCTGTCACTAATTTCGAAGAAAGCAGTTTTAAACCAGACAGCAAGCCTAACATCTCTTCAGCTTAATATATGCAAATCCATTTAATTTAAAAAATTCCATGTGTTGGAAATAACACTGATGAAATTACGTCAACAGACTAATTTTTAATCTTTGTTATGCCTGTGTTTCATTTAAATGTCTTGTGATTTCCCATTTTGCCCCCAATAGCCAACATTCATTGATTTATAGGTTTGTTATGGATAGGATAACACAGTCAACTGTTTAGTTTAATCAGGGTTCATAGCCACATTTTAGTTAAAAAAATAAGCACCTATACGCACTTTTCAAGCACATTTTAAGAAAAAAAAAAAATAAAAAAATAAGCACCTGTCTAATTACATTATACACAACTGCATAACCTTAAAAATTAGACTCGTAATTTAAAATATACGAAATGCAGTATTTATTAAGAGAGAATAAGCATTACCTCAACCATGGAAAATAATTAGTTTTTTAATTAGTTTTTAAACAACAGTTCAATTTACAGAACTAGTTTACAATGAGAGGGAAAAAAAAAAAAACTAAACTATATTACAAGATTTAATGATGAAATTTCAGTTCAAAATAGAGGAAATAAATAATAATAAGGCATATTTATTCTATTCACTTGGAACTTAATAATAAATACAATTTATTTTTCCACTCATATTGAAATTTAACTAATTTAAATCTAAATTCTAAACATTTTCTAAATGTTTCATCGTACATCAGTAATTTCCCTTAACACATATTGCAAGCAAAGCAATTTAAGTAAAAAAGAGGAACATTTCTGAAATCAGAAGACAGAAATTTGCTTCACACGGTCATCCTTTAACAGTAAAAGCTTAACTACCCGCATACGTGAAAATTGGCAAATATTTGGACAGTCGAGCGTAACTTGAGAAAGAGGAGCGAACGGGGGGATAGACTGTAGCCGTTCTTTAGATTTTCCCGCTAAATAAATGCTTTTGACATTTCGATACGTGCATCATATAAAAACAAGCCAATGGAACAGAAAAATATTCTGCTTTGCAAGCACAGTAAAACTCTTTTAAGTGTTCATAAACAAATCTCGGACCGAACATCAAAATTAATTATCTCTGCAAAATATCGCAAACGTTATTGTGCAAGTACGTGCGCCGTAATTTATTTCCTGCATGATATTACGCAATCGGATTCAACAGCTGCCGGTATTGGGAGAATAAAGGAAAAGAAAGAGACTTACTAATCTGGGGTGTTTTTCATTCTAATTTTCAACAGACTGCGTTAAATTTCCAGAATAGAATCATTCTTCGCTTGGGTTGGTAGACCACAGAACTTTTAGTCCTATTCAATCTAGATTGTGCTTGTTTTGCAGCAAACTGTAACAGTTTCAATATTCGAGATTTTGCGGAGAAAGGGAAGAACCTCCCAACCTTCGTACTGTATAATGTATTGGCCAAAAAAAAAAATGAAATTATTTTGACTATTCGATTACTTTCCCTTTATTTAAGCCATTCCGAATATTATTATTTAGACAGCTAATCTGTGTTAAAACACAACCATTTTTGGAAGTTTACTATACTTCAGCAGTTACTGCAACTATGTTATTATAAACATTCATACATATGCTCAAAATATAAGCATAACGATCATAATAAACACAGATATGAACTGACCAAGCGGAACAAGAATGCAAATTATTAAGATCTTGATAGAAATTCAAATGTATGTAGTATTTGGATGGGAGGAAAAGAATGCTAAATGTACTGGAATTTTCTACTGCTTTCGCAATTCTTTGACCAACAAAACGACGGGCACCTGTCTGTACTCTCTGTGCACACCAAAAATCATGTTTATGCAGAGAAAGGGGGAAAAGCTATTTCCGGGAATACGATTCACCATCTGACATTTCATATTAGGAAGAAAAGTTGTTTATTAGCTTTGGTATGGGGAAAAATTGAACGTTCATAAAAAAAAAAAAAAAAAAAAAAAAAAAAAAAAAAAAACTAAAAGCAAAAAATAAGCACTAAAAACAAAAAATAAGGGCTTTAAAGAAAAAGTAAGCACCTATAAGGGCCTTTATATTTTATTTTCAAATATAAGGACTTATAAGGACCGCTACAAACCCTGTTAATGCCTTCTGACGCATCTGTAATCCAGCAAAAAAAAAAAAAAAAAAAAAAATAACTTAAATTGTAAGTATTTGATTATACTCTTTTACAAAATTTTGTGAGAGAATAAGTAATGTGCAGATCCTTGTAATTTGTTTACCAATCATAAAAACTGGTAGATTTTTTAAGAAAGTGGGAGAAATTTTTCAGTGACAAAAATAACTCTTAAGTATAATACATCAATAAAATTGTACTCAAATATACTGAAACAAACATTTAAGAAAAAACCATCTACATGTTTAAGAACATAGGCGATTCCAGTAAAAAATTTAAAAGATTCATATTCAAAGACAAAAGATTCATATTAGAAAGGCATTTGATTTCTTTGATGCACTAACAGAAGAAATGTTATTTTGCAATAATTTAAGTTAACTTGATTTTTTCTGCAAGCATATCTAAGACAGAAGCTCGCGAATTCATAAACGGTTTATTGAAGTACACGAAATTCACATCATTGACAGGAGAGAAATACAACAGACTGCCTCAGTCTTGCTTTGTATTCTTTGGTAACATTCATCAGATGAATCGTGGTTACTGGAGAATAGGATCGCCCCATTTTGGGACATCTTTGCTCACCTACAAATAATATGGCATAACTTTTCATCGATAAAACTATCTTAATTTCTATTCAAAGGTAGTCAGTCTAGTGAAAGATTTAAGTCACTTTGGAGTCAAAAATTATTATATTATACGAATGTTATGCCAAGCTAATAAGAATCATTACAAATTTTAGGAATAAAAGAAGGATCAAAGAAACAACCTGTAAATCAGTTTGGCGAGAGGTCAATCAAAAATCAGAAGTTTCATGCCTAACAGTTCATAGAGTTGGCAGCTCTGTATAAGAATGTGTCACAATACTATGCTTAACACATCGTATCTACTTGAGTTTAAATAGACATAAGCACTTTAAATTCCATTTTCTATCACTATACTTCCAGCTACCATACTCGATTTGATTTCTAGCTAATTGTAATCAAAAACCGGGGCTTGTTGAATAAAACAAAAATGTAAGCAGAGACATTAGTATTTTTTAATTTAGTCAATACATCTGCTGCTATGTACTTTTTCCATTCAGTTTTTCTTCAATTTAATATATTATTACTTCTTTTAATGAACATAAAAAAAATGTTAATCACATATTTTTTGGACAAAATTTTGTTCCCCTTTAGACTTGAAGAGTGTTGTACCAAATACTAATACTTTCTCCACACACATAACAACAGAAGTTTCAAAACAACACTTTAAAATATTGTTCGAAATGTGCATTACTAATCCCAGTGAAGTTGAATGTCATCAACAGAATATATTATCCTAAAAAACATATTCGTCAGTTGATTAATCTAGAGCTTAACGGACAATTAAAGTAATCTTAGACTTATAAGAACCTAGGAAACAGATATAATAAGGCACAATTTTTCCAATACAAATGAAAAAAATCAAAGTTCTTTTACAGAAGCTTCACATCAAAAGATTATTTCTCATGCCCCAAAGTTCAATGAATGGTTAGGTTAGGTTATTTAATTATGGCAAAGCCTCGAGAGCTATCTAAAGGGAAGATCTCGAGAGCCTTCCTAATGGGATGCCTAAGGGGAAGGACTTTCGAAGGCAAACTGGCTCATATACATGTTACACATGGGGAAAAACACGAAAACACCCATGCAGCCATCCCATTCACATGATTGAAACCTCGGACCGAAATAACACTCAGACCTAACTGAACACTGGTACAGCAACTTTACCGCTCGGCTGCTGGTGAGCGTAAGTTCAATGAATGCTCTTTAAAAGAATAACAGACAAGGTAATGGGAGTTTCTCTCACCATCAGACGTTTGTGGAGAGAAAGCTTCTTCATTTCAAAGTCTTTTGTTTTTAGGGATAAAATTTTTCTTTTTGTCAGAAATTTATAAATATTAAATTTTATTATTTACTATATCAATTAACCAATTAAATATACCACAGGAGATATTCGGCATCACTTTCTTAAATGAATAAGGAAATTCTACAACAAAGTCAAGAAGAATTATGCTTTAATAATGTTACTATTTGAGAATCTCATGAACTTGAGAAATAAAATGATTATTTAACACATTAAGTACCATTTGGATCCAAATCTGCACAATATATGCTAGCGTAAGAGTCCACTTTTATTAGTTTGGGTACTATGATAAGCTTTTAAATTTGTTTGCATTCTAAAAAAAACAAATTCTACATAAAATTGTAAATAAAATTTTTGTGAACAAAATTAAATTTTTATACACATAGACTGTATGCATGCTATAGAATGTAAATTAATTATCATCTAAAAACAAAGTATAATTATAATATTATCGTTTATTAATATATTACTGGATGTTAGGGAATATTAACAACAAAGCTCTTTTTTTATGTGGAGGTACTCGGTGTTTTAAACATATCTTTATTCTATTATATCACCAAAGAAATACACTCAAGTATAAATTAAATGAATACAGTGAAATAGATAGCTTACCACATGGAATACACGAAAAAGAACTTGTAAACTAAAGTAGCAGCAGTGGCATTTGGGTACAACTGGCATATTCTGGCAACCAATATTGCCCAAGATACTCCTCCTAAGTAACCCAAAACATTAGAATATAATCCATTCTCTGGAAAAGAAAAATAATTTTTATTATTTATGCAATCTGAAATCAGCAAAATTGTAAATACGTATGTATATTTATCAAAACATTACTTACTTTTCGCCCAAAATTTTATGCAAACTAGTGTTAGTTTAAAACTTTCCGGGTTGGGCCTTAGACGATAAATCTCATCAGTTACACGATAACCTATATTAAAAAAATATGTAAGTCAAAGAGAAAAAAGAATTTCTGTACATATTTTTTAAAAAGCACTGTTCACACACCCCCACATAAAGATAAAACATGTAAAATTTAAAAGATAGCTTACTTTGTCATCGTGGTAGGCATCTTGATACCAGTTTGGCATACAGAAGAAAATTTTCCTGGAATATAGAGGATATATAAAGGGTAACTGTATATAAAGGGTTTCTTGACTGATGCCCATCAGTAACTGAGTAATTAGACCACTGAATGAGTTGAACCGTGACGAACTTCTTATGTCCAGTGGTCTTATTTACTCAGCCAATGTTGGGCCAATCAATTCCTACACAACCCTCTTTATGCAGAATGCGTGAGTAAAACTGGCATCAGTTCACACAGGGAAACTGCAGAATAATGATCCTGCCTGATCTGTATTTTTTGTTCCAGATTCTAAGCCATCTGTCAGACTAGAGAAAATGTAGACCTCAAACAAACTACATGATTATAACTGGCTCAATAGAAGAGAAGGAATTCAATAATATGCTCTCGTTGCACCATGATCATTAATAACATCAAAAGTTGAATTTTCGTTCAAAAGGATAATTCAGTGAATTAGGAAGCAGTTAATGGAATTGGGTTTGATTTGGGGGCCTAGCAGCAAGAGAGACACAAGATTCCACCAAATATAAGGTAAGCAGTATATGTCTCACTTCAGAGAGAATGAAGTCTAACAATGAACCAAAACATTCTGGCTATCAGAATTCAAACTCTAGATTTATGAAGTTTATGAATGATCATGCAAGACCCTATACCAGCAAGCTGGATTGGAAGATTTAGAAACGCCTCAAGGATAACTTTTTTGACCATGTTACCCCCTATATGTGGTCTACATCTACACCTGACTGCAATGCACAGATAAATGACTATTATGTATAAGATGCATTTAAAAGGATCACTAGTTACAGAAATTAATGCAAAAATGTGAGCTGAGGAAGAAAATATGCAGAGCATTACTAGATTTGTCATTTGAGGTTATAAAATGCACTTGTTCGCATTTCCAAGGTTATTTGAAGCCTGTCACTCATGCTGTAGGTGGTTACAATGAATAATATATTCAACTATGGAAGTACTAACTTAATTATTTCTGGAATTTTCGAAATATTTACAATTAAAAATTTTGAAAATGTTTTCCCTTTATGTGTTTTCAGGCCAGTTTTGCTCTGGACCACAGATATAATTAAAAAATAAATACATAAAATTAAAAAAAATAATAAATATAAACTCTAAAAAATCAAAATCTGAAAGCTTTCAGATTTTACATTATGCCCAAAGGATTTTTGTTTTAACGTTTTCTGTGTTAATTTTACTTATTAAATGCCATATTCTTCGCACTTAAACTATAAAATTCAATTCAACAGCAATATAAAATCACAAAATAATTTTTAAATGAGCATATCTTTAGAATTTCCAATACACAGTTTTGCTTACTGGAGATAAAAATGTTCCCCCTCCCCCATACAGTGTTGCTATTGCTCACATTGAAATCGTTGAGTTTCTTAATCAAAAACTCATAAATGCTTTACAAAATATGAAATAGATAAAAAATCAAATTCCAAATTTGAACTTTCGGATGCAAATATTCGGAGGAGGATTACGTTATTCAAAATTTCATGGCTCTAGGTACTGTTGTTTTATTACAATGTGAGAAACATACATACATTTATGCAAATTTTTCATTATTTAATTTATTTAAATAATGAACACAGAGCGATAATATTTGGTGGCAACAGTTTAATAAGTGAATCCACGCAAAATGCCGAAACGAAATTAATTGTAATTCTAAACTAACGCTCCTTTGGGCTAATAAATAAATAAATAAAAACAGTTTACAACATCATAAAAACAACTAAAATGCAATCACATAAACACAATATTAACAACAGTATTATAATTAGGTTACTTACCATTTAAACTCCTCACACATTTAAGGTCTAGATGTTTCAAAATATTTACATTGCTAAGATCCTGGTCTTCTGCTACACTTTCCACAGCCAAACGTGCAAACACCATGTCAAGCTAAATAAAGTATGATTTAAATAAATCAAAACCCCATTCTATCCACAAATTATAATCATATCTGATTATTCATGCTAGAAAATGCATATAATGAAAAGCAAATCTTTACTCAAGAATTAAATTTAAAATATATAGATAAAAATTTCAATGTCAAATGAATTTATGTAACAGATTTCATTATACTGAAACCTGGGATTCAAATTCCTTTTGAAATGAAAACAACTTAAACAGAATAATGGTTCAGAAATATGAGAGAAGCAGATTTTGGATGGGATTACATAGTTTATTAACCTTTTACATGCCAAACTATGATGCAAAAGTAAAATAAATGTTTTGTTATGAAAAATCAATTTAAAACTCAAATATAAGAATTATGAAAAAAGGAAAAAAAAATTTTAATTTATAACATGTTCCATAAACGGAACATTGGCGGAAAACAGTTTTTTTACATAATTTTTGTAAAACATGATTACTGACATTCTAATTCGAAGCTTAATTTTTGTCTGCACTTTTTCAGCATTAGCGAGTGAATTTGTCAACGTTATTCGGAAGTAATATAGATTCAGCAGAAACATAGGGAGCCTACACCTTTATAACCACAAAGCAACTCCACCAAAATTTCTTAGGAGAAGATGTGAAGCTTCCATAGAAAAAAGCTTTTGTAATAAATTAAAACAAAAATTACATAGTTGATAAGCAAGAATTTATAAAAGAATTTTACATTAATTGTTAGCAGTTTATACTGAAACAAGGAAAAGAGTTGTAAAAATAAATAACAAATAATCTTGTCCGTTACTTTGGCAATCGAAATTTCCTCTTTGCCATTTTGTAGCTTCTTTTGGAGATCTGAGAGGGCATCTTCCAGTCTGAAAATCCTGAATTGTGCCAGTTGCATTAAAGTTCTTTTCAGATAAATCTGTGAACAGTTTATAGGATGGAAAAAAGTTATCAAAAAAAAGTTTCGTGCTTACTTGGGTTTTCAACACTTGATAAAAGTTCCCACACAACTCTAGATCCCAGACAGAAGTTTTCTGTTACTGAACTCTTCCCGCTATAGATTTTCATTGCGTATGGATAGCCATTATTGGAGCACAACATCCATATTTTATAACCAAACTGAATTGGTTTACCGTTTACCTCGGATGAACATTTTAGCCGAATGATGACCATAAAAGGGGACCATCGATTCATCTATACTCAATTTAGAATGGAAGATGCCGAACTGTTGAAAGTTTTTTCCCAGTTCTTCATAAAAAGGAGAAACTTTTCCTGTTTTATCTCCTAATGCCAACTTGGTATTATCTATAATATGAAAATATTTTTTTCAGTTTTCGAAATCTATTTCTTTGCATTACAGGAGAAACTACTGGGACAGATAAATCTTCTTGAGTGCTCCAGTATAAATCTTCGCTGGGTACTCGATGATACCCGCTAAACAACAGTAATCCAAAAAAACTCTCCAATATCGTTTTCATCTACAACTAAAACTTCTCCTTTCTGCATTGCGTAAAGACCTGTCATATTGCTAAACGCTGCAAATATTCTCTAGTTAGGAACTTGTGAAAAATCTCAACTGGAGATAAAGTAACTAGTTCAGGAAACACTTCGCAAATATTTTCAATGCTGCCAGTTTTTAGAATTTTGTTAAAATTTAAATTTTTCCTCCACCGATTTTCAATGTTTTTCTCTTTCACATTTAGTTTTCGCTTCAAATTCTTCCCTCCCTTTGAAGATGAAGGTTCTTGAGGATCGAATGAAATTTCTCGAGATATTTCACCATCATCTATTTTATTAGAAATTTCGATTTTTCCACATACATCCACTGGCAGAACAGGCTCAAAAGTATTTTCATTTACATCTTCCTCATCTGTCAAACATCCAGTTTCTTCTGGAGGCAGTTGACAATTATCAATACATTATTCATCATCTGATAATGTACAAAAATATTCCAATGGTTCTTCAGTAGTCTGAAATGGTTTTGAATAAGCCATCTTATCAGCGTAGCGTATCTACACAAACTGAAAAAAATGCAAACAATGGGAAAATAATGAAATCCATACTCCAAAATATATGCCTTTTTCACTGAGTCATAAGCAACCTCTAGCATCTAGCCTATCAAGAAACGCCACGTGCTTTTCTCTAACAGCTGTGAGTAACTCACTTCAAACCCTTATGGGACTGTGTGAAAGGAGAGGAGGGAGATATACAAAAGACGAAAACAGAGTAACACTCATAAACATCCGTTTTCTACACTTATTGGAACTTTTCACATTTGGAAAATCTTTCTCCGTGCCTCTATTCACGACAATCAAAGTAATTCCATCATGTTAAAAAATATACCTTTACACGTCAATGTTCCCTTTCTGGAACATCCACATTTCTTACCTCATTGTAAAAAATAATAATCATCTGTCTATGATAACTTACTGTCTATGCATAAAATGATCCTTTTTAAATATCCTCATTGAGTTTTAGAAACATTTGTTGAATTTTTAATTTCATACGAATTTCTGAATTTTGCTCTTAGAAAAGAAGGAAAAAAGGTGAAATAATGAATATTTTTATCAAGATAATTTTTCTTTTAGAAGAATTATATTTCTTCTAAAACATCAATCTATATTTTCTCTCCATGTAATAATTTATACAAAGCAATATTAATAAAATTGTGTTTTTTATGAAATTTTAAATTCGATGTTCCATTTATGGAACATTGGCGTGTAAAAGGTTAAAACATCTTAGCACATGCTTTAAATAACACTTTGTGGAGCATACTACTACCATTATTATTCGTAGTAGTAGTTGTATATTTATTATCCTATGTTCAGGAATGCATAAAAGAAAACTAATAAAGAAAAGAGTAAACATTACAAGATTTCTTAGAAATATGACTACATTTAAAAATTTATAAATAAAAAAATATTATGAATTCTTTGGGGCTAATAAGCACCACTCTGTGTTTATATCATCCTGGTGTAATCTAGATGGCAATATGGAATACATACAAAAAGCAAAACACGAGATAATACCCATTTGAAAATAAAAAATGAACAAAGAAGTCAGATAAAAAATTTGTTCTCCCCTTTCTTCTTTTCAAATACATTATTGGTTAGAGTACACCTTAACGTACCCGTTATATTACGGCGAAGTTTGTTGTTGTTTCATTTATGGTAGCCCGAGTAGTTGAATGTTATGGAAAAAATATTGTGACATAATCGGGTGCATGATTCTGGGAAATTTTGAATCATGGGATGTTTGTAAGCGTTTTTGTGGTGGGTGTTGGTTTTATTGTTTAGATGGTAGAATGGCTGAATGTAGTAAGATTAATTTCAAGTTTCTGTATGATTTGGAACGAAAGGGAAAAAGAGCGTTAATTGACTGGTGTGTAAATGAAGGTTTACTTAGCCATTATAAGTGTCCTGTATGTAGGAAGGATATGCATCTAGTCCAACGAATGTAAAAACCGTTTAGATGGATTTGAATAGCTTTGTAGGGAGAAAGGTTCAGATGGTCACTATGTGAAGCATTCGATCAGAAAGTGTACCTTGGTTTGAAAAAAGTCATTTGAGTATGATTTTTACGTGGCTCTGGGTGTATGAAGCGAACTCGAAAATCATCAAGACGGAATAGAACATAAACAATAATAAGCCGGTAATGAGTGGATATTTCAGTCAGAAAAGAAAAATGAAAGGTGAAAAGATTGGGGGTGTGAGGACTTGTTGTTGAAATAGATGAAAGTAAATTTGGGAAGCGGAAGTATAATAGAGGTAAACAAGTGGTGGGAAAGTAGGTGTTTGGTGGAATAGAATGAGGGACCGGAAGGTGTTTTTTTGAAGTGGTTGAGGATAGAAACTTTATTGGATGTAATCAAACGAAATATTTTGCCAGGCACAACTAATATCTGACTGTTTGGAAGTCCTATAATTGTCTTTCTGATCACGAGTTTGTTTACCTTTCTGTAAATCATGCACTCACGTTTAAAGATCTAGAAATGGGAACTCGTATAAATAATATTGAAGGTATGTGGAGTGTAGTGAAGAGAGATTTTCGGAAAAAGTGTCATCGACAGTCAGGTACTAAGCAGGATATTTTTTACTCTTATTTTTGTGAATTATGTGGTGACGCTGATATATGGATTCGAGTTCAGATAATTTTAGGATGTTTTTGGATGCTGTTAAGGAATTTTGTGTGCCACAAACTAAAGACGAAGGAACTTCTAAATAGGATAAGTGAATATTTGCTTTTTGTAGTGCTTAAATGTATAACATGTTTTTCCTTTTTTATGTATACATTTTATTGTTTGGTTTAAAATATTTATTGAGATTATATATTTTTTGTTTACTTGTATTGTAGAATTGGGTGCTCCTTTGACTTTTTAAGTGAAAATATATCGATGTGTACATGGACAAAGCGAAGGGAGTGCACAATGCAAGTTTGTGCAATTCTGGGATTTTTTTCAAGTAAAATAGTGACGTGTGCAAAAAGTAGGTAGACCATTTTTGGAAATTCTGGGATTTTTTTTAAGTGAAAATAGGTAGACGGGTACATGGATAAAATCAAGGGATCTGTACATGGATACCCAGTTTCTGCAATTGTTTGTCTTGTTATTTTGGCTTTGTGTACTAGCGATTTTAGGCACAAAAATCGCCGCTTCGCAAGCCAAAATAACGAGTCAAAGAATTGCACAAACTTGATATCCATGTACCGCCAAAAATCGCCAAGGGATACCCTAAACTTTACTTTTACCACATTATTTGACCTTCCTTTTTCAACGCAGACACTTACAAGAAAGGGAAGCTAAGCCAGATAATATAAAGAATACACTTAAACCATATTAAAAATTCAGCTCATGGACAAGTATTAGCAAAATAAAGAAAAGATCCATTTTAGTTGAAATTATAAGGAATTAAAAAAAAGTCATAAAAAGCATTTAAAAATATACCTCAATTCCATTAAAATTCAGTTTAATGACAGGAACAAATGCATCTTCTATAGTCTACAAAAACAGATAAAATATATTAGAAATCAGTCATAAACCATTAAAATACTACATAATACCGTTCTTTAATTTACATTACACTCGAGGGAGAAAAAAACATGCCTATGATGTTTCAATCACGTTTTAAACACATTTATTCTTGGCTTTAATTATAACAAATTTAATTATAACTTTATATGAAAAACTAATAACTGAACCCTCCTTTCATTTACATGATCTAAAACAGTACTAATCATTGTTTAACAATTTAGCCAATCACTGCAAATGGCGTTCATAATATTAAACAGGTTTTAAGTACAATTACTTGGGTCTTAATTCTTTAATTCATTATCAATAACTTTCAATGTGCAAGAACAGTTAATTTTGTTTTTTCAGCAACATGTGCTAAGAAGCTTTCATGTATAAAATCCGAAAAAATTATTTAAAGCTTCACAACTTGACATCATAAAATATTCAATAAAATGCATGAATTAATTTCAATTACATACACAATAGACATCATAAGTTTCCCACATAATGCTTTTATAGCATCATCCCTTCTATACCTACTAATTCTATATTCACATGATTGCCATAAGCACATTCACCAATGCTAATGACCTTAGCAGACCTAATAGCATGAAATATAAAAAGAAACCTTAATATAATTCCAAGAAATATGTTATTCCCAGAATTAGTTTGAACAGCATGTTTCTACCTTAGGAGAAAATATTTGGGTTCAGCAATATTTTTTGAATAAGTATCCATAATATTTCATGACAATGAGGAAAAAAATTGCATGGAAACTCTTGTTTTATTTATATCAACCAATCAGAAGATTCTGCTTCTGTACTGTATACTTCTCTGCCTTCTTCTTTTATATTCATATTTTTGGAAACAATGAATTTTGCCCGAAACCAGCCTTCTTGCAGATAGTAGACAGAGGTGCTTGCTCTTAGTTAGGCACAAACACTTTATCTGCTCACTTCTGTCGATCCAACAGAAAGCATAAACAATGAAACCATTTGTTACTTCTATTTATACACAGCAGATTGGAATAATTAAATAAGCAAAGTCTGTCCACATGATTAGATAAACTGCCTAAAGAGTAATAAACCAAATTTTATAACTGAATTGGAAAAAAAATACTATCTTCTAAGTATAAACAGCTAAACTGTCATCATGTTCTGCAGGAACAAATGTTCCATAGCCGCAGAAAGATTAGTTATCTTCTTTATATATCTAAAGATTATTTTTATCTATACTATATGCATTCGAAGGTTATCTTCCTATATGAAGTTAAGTTTTCATGGAGGGCTTTTTAAGGTAATGTACCTTTATTCATGTTACACAAATTATCAGTCTGCAAAATCTGCACAGCAGAGATAAACATATCAAGGTTTCAGAGTCTCAAAGTATGTATAGCAGTTTATGTCCTCATTTTCAGTTTAAAATACATTTTCCCCCCACCAGAGTAAATTAATAAATTCTGTTCTTATTACAAACCAATGCAAGTCTATAATGAATTATTAGTCTAGAGTTACTACTATTCATTGTATTTCTGATATAATGTGTAAAATATAAAAAAATATAATACATTAAACGATCATTTTATTATGTACTTCACACTTACAACTCTCAGAAAAATAAAAATTTAGAGCGGGAATAAAATCTGGAAATTTATATAAATTTGAACTAATTATTAACAAACAAATAAGTATAATAAATATTTTTTGACTTACCCGTAGGCCTTTTACTTCACACTGTTCTTTCAATAAATCAACAAAAGATGTAAAAAAATCTGCTCGATCAATTTGGCTTGGTGCAACACAAAGTGTGTCCATGTCAGCACCTATAATAAGAAAAATATTTATTTCCATATTTAAAGAGTTCTCAGTTCCAAAATTCTACATCTTAGTTGTATACATTTTCAGAAAATAAGTTACAAGTCTTCATCCAAAAGTCAAGTGGTAAAGTTAGTGGCACACATTCGAGAAGTCCAGGTTCTAGTGCCGGCGAGGGCATTGCTCATTTTTCAAGTCCCCCATATCAAAATAACCTAATGTCTCTACAGGACCACACAGTCACACTTGCAAAAGTGTCTAGAGAAGTGGAATTCCATCTCGACGAATGCTGTGTGCATACCTGGGTTGCCACATAAATATTTTTTGATGACACTGTGGCTTACCATGTAATGTACTTTTGGAGACATTATGTTTCCCTCATATTTTTTTCGTGGTTTTTTGTGTGGCTGTGGATAATCAGAAAGCACCACGACTTTTTACCACAAACTACTATATTTTTGAAATATAATTATATACAAAAATAATAACATTAGTACCTTTTGTGAGTAGGTGTGCACCATCTGTAAACTATTCTTGTACCTACAAATTATTTACCTAAAACCACCCACCAAAATGTATGGCAGGCATATGAATGGAAAAGTACCAAAAGCAAAATTTTGAGATGTCCACACTGCTAGTTTTAAACAGGCAAAGTCAGCAGATGCTATATAGTAACTCCCCCTATGAGGATTGTGTGGGCAAGGGATAACTCAAAGGAATGACCTAGCTCTGTTCGCTTACACGTCAAAATAAATTATTATGCTACCAGCGTATCATGGACTCTAACAGACTACTAAAAATATTCTAAAGTATTGATTTATTAACTTGAGTAAAACATCACTCATGAAAATAATATGTCATTCTTCTTTAATAAGCCTAACTTAACTACAAAAATATATTTTCCTAATTCTATAAATTGTTTTGTTTTTTTGCCACTTCTAAGAAGCTACAATAATTATTAGTAGCCAAACAAACATTAAATAAAAAATTAAAGGAAAGTAAAGTAAAGTTAAATTGAAGCACATAATAAAATAAAAACTATGTTCACTTGAAATTCCAACGAAGCTCTTCCAGGGTTCGTAGCCACATTTCAGTTAAAAAAATAAGCACTTTACAAGCACATTTTAAGAAAAAAAAAGGGGGCTGTCTAATTACCTAAATTAAGACTTGTAACTTAAAATATGTGAAATTCAGCATTTATTAAGAGAGAATGAGCATTACTCAAACATGGAAAACAATTACACTTTTTTTTTTTTTTTTTAAATTTCAAATAAAGTTCTACTTACAGAACTAGTTTACAATGAGAGGGGAAAAAACTATGCAGAACTAAATTATATTACAAGATTTAATGATGAAATTTTAGGTTCAAAATAGAAAAAATAAATAATAATAAGCCCTATTTATTATATTCGCTTGGCACCTAAAAATAAATATAATTAATTTTTTCACTCGTATTATTATTTAAATAATTTAACTTAAATCAAAATTCCGAACATTTTCTAAATTTTCATTGTGTAACAGTTTTCCCTTAACAGATACTGCAAGTAATTCAAGTAAAAATAAGTAAAAAAAAGAAACTTTTCTGAAATCAGAAGATGGGAAATTGCTTCATACAGTCATCCTTTAACAATACAAGCTTAACTAACTGGCATACTCCGAAATTGCCAAATATCGGAAAATTCCAGATAGTCGAGCACAACCGATAAAAGTGGAAGGGGTAGCCATTCTTTATATTTTTCAGCTAAATAATGCTTTTGACATTTCGATATGTACATCATATAAAAATAGCCCAATGGAACTGAAAAATAATGTGCTTTAGCAAGTACAGTAAAACTCTTTTTATCTCTGCGAAATACTGCAAATGTTATTGCGCAATACCTGCGCCTTCATTCTTCGACATGTGATATTATGCAACTTGGAATCAACAGCTGCCGGTATTTTGAGAATAAATAAAGGAAAATGCTCTTTTGCTTCATCCGGTTTTCACCGTCATGCGCCCATTTGCCATATTTCTTATTGAGCAGGACACGTCACGCACCGCACGATATCCCTGTCTTACTCATATTGATTAATTAAGAGATTTACCAACCTGGGGTGTTTTTCATTTTAATTTTGAACAAATTGCGTTAAATTTCTAGAATAGAATCATTCTTCGCTTAGGTTGGTAGACTGCAGAATGTTTAGTCCTATTTAATCCAAACTGGAAAGTGACCAAAAAAAAAAAAAAAAAAAAAAAAAATTCGTTGCTCACTTTGCTGCGAACTGTAACGGTTTCAATAGTCGAGATTTTGCAGAGAAAGGGGAGAGCCCCCAACTTCCATACTATATAATGCATTGAAAAAAAAAAATTTTTTTTTGACTATTTGATTACTTTCACTTTATTTATGCCCTTCCGAATATTATTCCTTAGAAAAATAATCTGTGTTAAAACACATTTACCCATTTTTAAAGTTTAATCTATACTTCAGTCACTGCAAATATATTATAAATATTCATACATATGCTCATAATATAAGCATACCGATCATAATAAACACGAACTGACCACGCAGAACGAGAATGTAAATTATTAAAATCTTGATAGAAATTCAAACGTGTGTAGTATTGTATGGAAGCAAAAGAATACAGAATGTACCGGAAATTGAAATTTTCTATCGCTTTTGAAATTCTTTGACCAATAGAACAACGTGCACCTGTCAGTACTCGCGTGCACCAAAGGTTATGTTAATGCAGAGAAAGGGACGAAAAGCTATTTCTCGGAGTATAATTCACCATCTGACATTCCATATAAGGAAGAAAAGTTGTTTATTTAATTTCGGCTTTGGTGCGGGGAAAAAAAATGTGTCCTTCGTAAAAAAAAAAAGGTCACTAAAAGCAAAACATAAGCACTAAAAAAAAAAAATAAGTGCTTTAGAGAAAACGCATAGCACCTATAAGGGCTTTTATATTTTATTTTCAAATATAAAGACTTATAAGTACTTGTAAGGACCGCTACAAACCCTGTGCAGGCATGAAAGATACTAAATAATCTCAAATATAAGATTAAATCTATTTATCAAAATATGATATGATACAATGTATTTGTATTAAAATATTTATTTTCATACATATCCAAGAAAAAGCAGATAATGCATTGAAAATAAATAATAATAAATTTAAAATAATGATAAATTTACTATATAGAGCTCTATAAAGATATATATTTTGTTTGAATTCAAAATTGAATGTGGATTGCTTAATCATAGCCATTAGAAAAACAATCCTGAAATTCCTAATGAGTTTATACTTTTCCTTTGATAAGCGCAGGGAATAAAGCTCCACAGCAGTTAACCCACACAAAAAAATATTTGCATATTATAGTTCCCAAAACACTCATAATGACCACATTTACTACTTTTAAATATAATCAATATATAAATAAAAATTACAGCATAAAAGAACTCTATATTATAAGCAACAAAATACATTTTCCTTGCCTGTTCTCTTTTCAAAATGAGCAAAATGTTAATTCATATGCAGTACAAAGTCCGAACTCGTCGGGACTTTGAGGATTCCGGATTTGGGATTTTTTCAGATAATAGATCATCAGTTTAAATCTAGTAAGATGATATGTAGAAATTATAAAATTAAAAATATGAAATCGTGATTTATGAAATAATGAAGTATTTATGATCTAAAGGGTATCGAAATTTACAAAAAAAAAAAAAAAAAAAAAAAAAAAAAAAAAAAAAAAAAAAAGCTTAATATTTATATGTTTACCTTGATTAAACATTTATTTCAATGCAAGTTGTTTAAATTGCTTCGTTTTTTGTGATTATACTTTCTCTTTGATTCTGTAGCCAGACATAATCTCTTGTTTAGTTACATTGTTAAAGTTCTGTGACTGCTGTTTCGAGAATTCCGACTAACTTGTCAATCAAAATTTTCTCATTTACAGTAACTTCTCTGTCACTTTTTCACTATCGGTAGTGGTATTTTCTGGATATAGAACCATACTACAGATTTCACCATTCATTAATTGATTGATGATTGAGAAGCATTGTTATCACAATGAAAAACTTCTTTTATATCATCTTCATTTATTACCATTTCTCCACATTTCTTTACAAAATCTTTTAATTCGAAAATTTCAATTTTGTTTTGTGATATCCGAAAACCTTTAAAATTAGCATTTATCATCATCAAATTTAGCTATCCCTCACTTATACATATTTGGCTGTGCATCATGAGCTTGGGAATTAATGACAAGTTGTTCTGTTACATTTTATCTTCCTTCTATCCCACACATAGACAATTAAGCCTGAATTGTATTTGTTATTTATTACACTTACCTATGTCTATTTCTTGCACATGCTTATCAGAGTTCTGAATAAATAAATTCTCACACATACTTAAACCTTATTGAGGGCAGGCCCTAGATATCTGATGCAGTTTCTATGGGTCCTAAATTTTGCGACTTGGTGCGACCATACGACCCCTGGCGCTGGTTCTGGCTTTATGTGAATAACAAATCAGTTATTTTTAATTCAAATAGCCCTAAATGTAATCTTTGGGTCTATGAGTATCATCAACAAAATCTATTCTCAGCATATGGAAGGAAATTTTTCCCTGTCAACATTTTTACCACATTTAACTTAAATCTGTAATCATCGCCAAGCGTAATGTCAACATAAAAGGTTACCATATTCCTTTATTATTCAATTACTAACATGAAAAAATTGTTTAGGCATCGCTACTTGAGTCATTACTCAAGTTATCATGTTTTGATAAACATGCGGTGATGAAAGGAAAGTATAATAAATAATGATTCGTCCAGGTTGACGTCAGATCAACGATTTATCTATGCGGAATGTTTCAGTTTGAGATATGTGGCAAGGAAATATGCAGCAACACAGCCAAATTACCGATAGTACAAATTTATGCTAAAATGATTGTTTCTTCAATAAGAAGGTATTTTGTTTACTGTCGAAGAGCAAATTAAAAATCGGGACTCTCTAGCTGTTGTATTATGTGCAGAGGGTAGGAATCAAATACGAATGTGTCAAATCCCACGAGAAAAACCATTGTAGTGGTTTTGAGGTCTGGATTTTAGATCATTCCGGATAATAGATGTCCAGATTTTCAACTTTGTACTGTATATCATATGATACCTGTATTAAAATAGTAGTTATGGTGCACTTTAAGCTTTTATATTTTCAGCTTGAAGAATGAAAATTTAAAAACATACCTTTGGTATGAACACCTAACCTGTACGAACCAAATGCGTATAGCTTCCCATTGGCTGTTTCAGCTACATCTCTAGGTATATTCTGAAAATAAATTAACATCACTTTATTTACAATATTCTCTTCTAGAAATAATAAAAGAAATTTTTTTAATTGCTTCACCTACCTTTTGTAAACATGTGGCTTGAATCCATTGTCTCACTAAGTTGTTCAACTTACTTAAAACTTCCAATCTATGAAAAATTTCAAAATAACAAAATTTATTTCTAGATAAAATTATGTAAACTAAGGAAAATTTAATTATGGTCTTGATATCAAGCACAAAAATTTGAATAAACTGCATTATACATTACATTACCTGCAAGCAAATTCTTCATGTGATTCAAAAAGATCATACTCTTTCAGTACTTCCTCTAATTCTTTTGTTTTTTGGATGTCTTTTGCAGTAGGCATGTCTATATTAATAGGGGAGCTGACACCCAGGACTTTAGTCAAAGCCATAGTTATTTCTTGAAGAAATGCACTATAACAAAATTAAGAAAACATACTTAACTAAGTTTTTGTATTACCAAAAGAATTCTTTTGACATAACAACACAAATGGTTCTGTGATAAAAGTTCATAGAAAAAACTTCACACAACAATTATTCACACTTATGAAAATGCATATGAATATACATATGCAGATGAAAAAATAACCAACTATTTTATGCTAATTTGTTGAACAAAACATATGGCAAAATTTGAAACAGAAAAAAAATCATATTTGATAACTTCACATAATAATAATTGCATTTGGCTTTTAATAATATGATAATTTCTAAGATGAAAAAACTTATTCCCTCTTTTTAGTACATTTGACAATGATAATCAGTTTGTTTCTTTTTGTGGGGGGGCAATTAATGTCAATTAATACTCTTTTTGTGAGATAATTCCCCTTTTCTTATGGGATCAATACTGGAAACCATCTGATATATTGAACCAAACTTCTGATCCCTTTAATTTGGTACAGTGGAATTGCATTGTACAGCAAAAAGCTAATTCAAAAAACGAATAAAAGTAACTACCCACTGAACAAATAATGCATATTTCAGTATAAAGTTCGAGATCCAGTCTTCTTGGAACTTTGGCAATTCCAGATTTAAATCATCAGTTTAAATCTAGTACGATGACACGTAGATATTATAAAATTGAAAATATGAAAAAGTTTATTATGAAATAATGAATCGTTTATAATTGTAATGGAATCAAAATTAACGAATAATTTATTTTAAATAAAACAAAAAACTCAATATTTATTTGTTTCCTTTATCAGGTACTTATTTCAATGTATGTTGTTTAAGATGCTTCTTATCTTTAACTTTATATGTACACATAATTTTTTGTTCAGGTATAAAGTTCCATTGTTCGGGTTCTGTTTCTATTGCTTCTGTAATAATTCTGTATTTCTGTAATGATGAGGAAAAGGGAGAGCAAGAAATGCAGAAAATACAAAGAACAAGAGTGGAAAGAAGAGAGAAATTTTTGATGAAAAATTGCAGACTTTCATATGATGTGACAAGAAATGTTCATCTATATCCATACAGTGTGTTATGAAACTTTATTTGATGCTCAGCGAATTTTTAAAACTATGATAATCCATGTGAGTTTAAAATGCTGCTTAAAGTTTGTTTTTCTGACATAAAAATCAAGGGTATGTGCTTTAATTTTAAATAATTTATATTTTTATTGATGTTACATATTTAATACGGAAAAATAGATCACAAATATGACCAACAGACTTCACAATTAGTATTGTTAAATATTGTACAGCATATAAAATAATGAAATACATGTTATAAAAACTTAAATTTCATTAGATTTTAATCCATCTTCAAAGTATGAATATTGGATAAATAAATATATTCAAACATTGCATAAGGCTTACAAACAACTGTATTGGCAAATCATAACTCTGTTTATGTACAGTCTGGGCTGGTACAGAATTTAGAAGCCCTAGTCCTTGTTTTATTATGCATAATAACTTGATTATGCATAATCGATTAATCATTATGTATACATAGTATCATTATGTACACATAAAACTCAATGTTTATCTTAGTGCTGATAAAAATGAAGTCTGATAAATGATGTTGATAGTTATCAAGTTTCATATTTGACGGTTACATAGATTACTACAGATAATATATACCAGTGTAAAAAAAATTAATTTAGACAGAAGTTTTTCTACCTCAAAGCAAAATACACAGCATTTAACTCAATTACACGACCAAATAATTCTAGAAGTACTGTTAACAAAATTTCTCCACTGCACCTTTTTGTTCGTATTATTTAAATAAACCAATTTTCTGAAACTTTGTTTATGGAACCAGCAAACTGAAAAAGCCCTCTAAATACCAGCTCTTGTAACTGAAAGATCGATTTAAAATGTTACTGCATTATTATGGCACTTTTTAAAAAATTTTACTGATATTTCTATTTATATTTCATGTGCATCAAAGCTGGGTAAAATAAATAGAGGAAAAAATTGTGTTTCCAACATAAAATATACATTTAAAAAAACTTTTACAAAACACTAGTCACTTTTCTTCTTTTATGAGGAAAATAATTCCTTTCTAACTGGCAAAAAAATTAAAACTAAGAGTTAAGAAATTCAACGACTTTTGTAGAATTAATTATATATTTGGCAATTAATGTCAAAAGAGGATGATACAACTACATTACAAGATACGGATCAGGGCTATTTATGGTAATCAAATTTTTACATTCCACTAGATGGCACTGTGATTGCATGTGCCCCATAAATCAGAGACGTTTATAGCAATCTCAGTTTCTGTTTAAAGGTCTAAATTAACATCTTTCACATGAAATTTTTCTCCTTTATTTTAAGAAATATATTCATTTAATTTTATGGATCCTTTAAATGTCCTACAGAAGTGTTTTATTTTTAAATATTTTTTGCTTGCATATATTATAAAAATTCTATACTTTTCAATGTTCATCTTCAGATTGATTCATGCTAGTTTAATAATTCTGATAATGATTATTTTCCTTTCATAAAGAAAAGTAATTCAACTTTCAAAATAGCAAACATCTATAAATTAACAAAGAATAAAAATCAGAGCTGGTAATTAGATTTTTATGACCTTTTTCAAGTTAGCCATTTCATAAAATTATATTATATTTCTAATTTAAAATTTTAATTTCAGCTTAATAAATTTATTGGCAAATGGTGCACCTATTAATTAAAATTCCATGAATATATCCCTAACACTTTTTTGAAGTAATAAACATTAAATTTCTCCTGTTAAGAAATATTTGATATATAAATTCTTCATCAAGTTCCAGGATCTTATATTAATATTTGCTCTGGTACCTGCACTATATAATACTCTACATTCTGTCCCTTATCAAATAACATAGCAAATGAATTCACATAAAGCAATAGACTCACACCTTCATTTAAAGCTACTTACATTAATTTTTTTTTATTAGCTAAGCTGCTATTTTCCCCTTACTTTAATTTTGCATGCTTCTATTAGTTAATTATGACATATATTTATCTGCTCTTGAATGTCAGCATGTCAATTTTTCCCAACCATGGGGTGTATCAAAATAAAGTATTTAGAAATGCATTTAAGTAAGATGTTTCGCAAGAGATTCATAAGTGTTTTCACAAAAATATAAATGATAAGAGTATTAGAAGTTTATAACTTTAAAATTTGTACCTACAAATGTTTGATATGTGCATATTTTATTGCACAATACCTATCCCCATACTGCCTGACAGAATGCTTTAGTTGATCTACTTTTGTAATAACTACAAAACAGTGGACAACTATGACACAAATAATTTGTACTTCAGTTAACATTTTATGGGGATCAACAGATGTGTGTATATATATCATAATGTATTTTCATTGTTACGCTACCAATATAATTATACTAAGAAATGTAAAGAAACCACACGCAAGAACATCCATGCAAATGATATGCGCACTTAAAAATGTTTTTTCAGTTATTCTGTAAGTTTTGACTAAAAAGTTGCTTGTTCGTTCAAAATGGCGAGATTTCTTTAGGATTATGTCTATTTATGATAACCACTTTGCATTTTATTCATGTTTTAATGACTTTCTTCAAGTTTTAAATCTTGTTTTCTAGGATTTATCCTCTTAAAGCTCTGTTTAATACTCTCATACACTTCTAATTTTTCTGCTAGCTCATGTGGAGTTTTAAATTTCATCCAATGGTCCAGAAAATGATCCTTTACTTCCATGGGAACTCTATATTTAATTTGCTCGGTTATTACATCTTTCAGATTCTCAAATGTCTTAATTTCTAAATCCCCAATCCACTCTAAAAAATAACTATAACGTTCATGAGCATAATTTCTCCAAGAGTCTTTTGATGTGGATAAAAGCATTGTTTCAGCTTTTCACTGTTAAGTTTACATCTTCTTAAGATTAGATTTTTCACATATTTGTACTTAGTCGCATCTTCAGATGGTTCTCTGACTAACATATTGGAGACTTTTGGGTAAAACACCCAAAAGATAAGCCATCCAATCTTTCTTAGGAACCTAAGCCATTTCAGCTTTTCTCTTAAAATTTATCAAATATAGTCCCATTTTATCCCTTTTTTCGTCGAACTTTGGAGTAATTTGTGACAACTGGATTTTGTTGCTTAATTCTACTATATTCGCTGTTGATTCTCTAGCTTGTATTACCTGATTTTCAATTTCAAGCTGCTTTATTTCTAATTCATATGCCCTTGCTTCTCGAGCCAGACTTTCTTCTCTCGCTTCTTCAGCCAGACATTCAGCAATTATTCGGTTTAGAATTAATTTAACTTCTTCCTCACGGTGAAAACTGACGTTCAGTGATTATTTTTTAATTTCTGGAACATTACTAGTTAGCGGCACTTCCTCACCTAATTCTTCAGCTACTTCTATAAAATCTTGTTTTTTACCCTTGGCAAGAAATGACATGTTTATAAATAAAAAAGCTCTTCAACAGCGTTTCAAAATTAATCTTAAAAAGCTTTTAGTCAATATTAAAAAATTCAAATCAACTTGCTCAATATAGCCTTTTTTTTATTAGAAATTCAAGTATGAGACAACGTATTTTTTTTTTTTTTTTTTTTTTTTTCTTTCTAAAACACTTAATGCAATAAAATGTATGTGCTTTCCAATAAACAAAAATCCTGCAAAGCTTGCTCTTAATAAATTATACTAGAAGTAAATAAAAAAAAAATTCAATCCTCTAACTTGATTCATACAACAAAATTCTTGATTTGGTTCTGTAATACAAGAGCTCAAATTTAGGAATAAGAATATTATAATATTAGCGTAATAAATTTGACATTCTAATACAAGAGTTCAAATTTTAGAATTGAAATATTCTAATATTAACGTACTAAATTTGCGACAAGAGCTCAAATTTCAAACGAACATTAAATATTTTGATGCTTTAATCCAAAAGCTTTAAAATCAGAATATTGTTCTTTAACTTAAATTCAATAATAGGATGAAACATTTTCTTAAAAAATGGCACCACATTCATAAAAATTTATACTCGCAAGTACTGTATTTCTTTTGTTTTTAAATGCTTTTCTCGTCTGCACGGATATTCCTGGAGGTGGTTTCTTTACATTTCTTAGTGGAATCATGTTGGTAGTGTAACAAAGCAAATACATTACAATATGTATGTATGTGTGTGTATACTCGCAACTACTGTATTTCTTTTGTTTTTAAATGCACTGTTTTCACCTTTCTATCCCAGAGACTACCACCAGATATTTATTGTTTTATACGTCTGTAATAAAGTTTTAAAGAATCTAATTTAAAAAAAATCATTTTTGAATGAACAACCAACTTTTTAGTCAAAACTTACAGAATAACTGAAAAAACATTTTCAATTGTGCGCATCGTCTGCACGGATATTTTTGGAGGTGGTTTCTTTACATTTCTTAGTGTTTCTTAGTGGAATCATGTTGGTAGTGTAGCAAAGTAAATACATTACAATATGTATGTACGTATATGTGTGTGTATACATACACACATGCATAACATATACATTTCTGAATCCAGTCCCGATGCTTAAAAATTAATAATGCTGTATGCTTGTGCGAATGTAAAAATGAAGCTTCCACAGGATATCTAGATGTCATTACATGAATTAATGAATTTATCCGTATCACAACCTGTACTGTACCTTCTAAATTCCTGTACAGTACAAAGTCCGAAATCCGGACTCGTCGGGACTTCGGAGATTCCGGATATTGGATCATCAGTTTATATAAAACATATAAAACTTTATCAGTTTAAATCTAGTAAGATGGCATGTAGAAATTATAAAATTAAAAATATGAAATCGTGATTTATGATCTAAAGTGTATAAAATTTACAAAAAAAAAAAAAAAAAAAAAAAAAAAAAAGCTTAGTCACATAGCAATGCTCCTGCATAGACCCAAAGTAATGGGCAAAAATGAGGTCGATACTTCCTCCCCCTAAGAAGGTAAACACAAGATATAAAGAAATAAAAGGTTTGCTGAATGTGGGACCAGAAAAGCTAAGTTTGTCTGTGAAAAATGTGAAAGACGTATGCATGAAACGTATGGCATGCATTTGCCGAAAATGTGCAAATTAAAGGTAAAGTTTTTAACATATGGTTTTGTTCTTTTATATTTTGCGCAGATTTAATGGTAAAGGAAAGGAAAAAACTGCCCCAGCGCGAGCAATCCCGTTCGTTAATGCCGGGTTAAATACTGCAAAATCAAATAGTGTTAAATTTATTAAAATGAATATTATATCCCCAAAACGTGTTTTAAGTTAAAAGTTTGAAAC